TCCGTGTTGTTGTTTGTTTACCAGAGAAGCATATATAAAAGCTCATGTAAGACATGGCAGCAGTTGTAAGCCCTCCACCCAGCTCCTCAGTTGTCTGCTAAACATCTGACAGTTCATGTACATATAACAACAGATACCACAGTGTGACAAAAGTGGCACAAAAGCAAAGCAGTGTCAAAAGTAATGATGGAAAAATACCCCAACCCTGTCTTTAGCCAATCTTTAGTCTTTATGTCAGCATGCCAACACAAAGTACAATAGAGAGCGATGGGAGTGTGAGGTGATTTTTCACGTCTATTTCCTAATATTTCTTGATGATTTTGTCAAAACAGCTGTGTGGTTAGGTACAAATTATAGGACAAACAGAAACAAAGTTGTGATACTGTTATTTCAATTAGTTGTGCCAAATTTATTCTTGGATTGAAAAAATTGCTCCATTTAAAACCCAGTAAATATTTATTACTTATTTGTGCTGAATCATGTGCTTTGTGCTACCTTAGCATTCATAAATAACTGGAAGTGTACCAACTGATCACTGTGCTACTGCACAGGCTTACATCTAGTTTTTGCAGAGCATCTTAAATCAAATGTACATAAAAAGGCCTTTAGGCAACAAATCTAAATAAATGTATGCTAATATCAACAGGGAGAATTCTATGCAATGATAAAAAAAAGATTTGACTTTTGAAAATCAAGTATTGATAAAATCAAAACTCTGACCTGATGGTGGTGCTAGATGAAAAATCTACAAGATTACCAAAGTGACTACAGTTGATGCTGGACACGAATGGGCATATCGAATGTCAAGGAAACCACAAACATTGGACCTCAGGGTGGCACCAGAGAAAAGGTCAGAGAATCACCAGTGTCATTACGATTCATCGTCAGGGCACCATAAACGTTTGTATGGCAATCCATTAAAGAGTTGAGTTTTTTTCAGCCTGGAGCAGAGTGCTGGCCTGATCAACTTGAATGCTGCTTCCAGGGCAAACGTGCACCTGCGGCTCTGACTTCATCAGCTCACCTTTACACACCAGCATAATCAGCTTCACTTTCATGTGGTAGATAAAGTAATTCATGAGGATGTAATCATTAATGATGCTCTGTTCGCAGACGCCTAACAGGACGTCAGGTGCTAATATGAAAGTGCACTGTCAGTACAAAGGGTCACACAGTAACAGCTCATAAAGCACTAAATCATGATAAGCAGCCACTTTACCTGGAGCACCTGGATAAGTCAAAGTGATGGAGGTGATAAATGCCAACCACTAGTAATGTGACTCGCAGTAAGCTCAAGAAAGCTTTTTTAGGTCCTACCCAACCTATGATCAGGCTTATCTACCTCTACTACACAGGAAATTATCATATTGTGTGAAGTGTCTGTTTCCTCTATTTTAGTGTTTTATAAAATCTAGAACATGCATAATCTGCATACAAAATGCTGAAATAAAAGTTCAAACCTGGACTTCCAGTATGTGCAGGTTTGTTATTCAAATTCTAAGTAATCTGTCGACTCAATAAATATTTTAACAGACAATATTAGAGCCTCTCAGGCTCCCACTCTCTTTACTGATGCAGCTAAA